TTTTCCTCCTTTAAAATAAAATGACTTTTCATGAATATGCTGTATCATTCACATAAATAGTTTTCAGTCACATCATGTTTTATATTTCTTTTCTTTCATCGTCTGTTTGCTGTTTTCTCGCCTTCTCTTTGTAAGTGGATTACGAGGATCGTATATCTCATAACGATCAAGTTCTTGTATGTTGGCATCTATCACTTTTTTCTTTCTTTCTTCATCTTCAAAAATTAACTTGTGAGTCATCCTGAAAGAACAAATTAGATACAAAATAAAAATTGCTTTCTCTGATCAAATATGATTCTTTTCCAGATTGAAAATACAGTAAAACTTATATAACATGGATATTGCATAAACTGAAATCTTGTCTTTCACAGTAAAAACTTTTATTTCCATTTATTGAATTTAATCCTATACAATGATGTTTAAATAATATGGAATGCTTTCTGTTTGGAATCTGAACTGAAGAAAATTCATTGTATACAGTGCATTTATTTTTCTTTCCATTGATTATTTTTAAAATTTCTTAAATGATTGAATCTTCTCTGAATGACCCAAAAAAACATTTTCTGAAACCTTAAATAAGCAAAAAATAAACATTTTTTTTTAAAATCTTAAATCATGACAATTCACCTTTATTAGACATTGAATTTTATTGGTAGGATACAACTTGTACTATTTTATCTTTGCAGATAAAATGGCTGATTCATGTTCTCACATAAAAAACCATTAGTATCTTATTACACAGAATACACTCAACCTATGTCAGCATTTCTCAGGTCAATGCTAGTCTTCATTAGAAAATCAATCATATTATGCTGCATCGGTTGATTTGCTCTAAGGTCATTGATGTGGATTACTTGAAAACTGGACTTGTTTTGTTTTGTTATCTAATAGCCACATTAGTTAACAGCTGAACAACAATTACAGTAAAACTCGTTTAGCACGTACACGGATATTGCAAATTCACGGATATAGTGAAGTTATCTTAGATCCCCAGCTATATAAATTTAACAAATTCCTTATACGGATATAACGAATTAGGGATATAGCGAAGTTATTTCACTGGTCCCAGTGACTTTGTTATAACCGAGTTTTACTGTACCTTTTTTTTTTTTAAATAAAATTCCATTGCCTATAGTGCATAAATTAAATACATGGTACAATATGCAATATTGAATACTGAAGCATCATTAAAGTTATTTACCATGACATATCCCCTGGGGCCTCTGCAGTTTCAGTCTCCCCTTCTGGGGCCTCTTCCTCATCACTGTAGTCCCCAGAGATTCTTTTGACTGAGTCCAGCTTGGACTGGAACTTTGCCAGCAGGGCCAGTGTAGCTTCCTCCCTGCCACTCCCTTTCTTCACTTTCGCTTTCTTGTATTTTTCTCGCTCTGCCTTGTAGGCTGCTATGACCTCATTCTTTTCCTCTGGTTCTAAAATGTCAATTTTCTCCTGGTTATAAGTACATGTACTGTAGATCACTTCATTTTCGCGACACCTTATTTTCACGAGATAGTCATGACTCTTTATCAGTGAGACAAAATTTTCACGAATTGTGTTCGTTGCTCTATATAATCTTAAGGAATTCTATAATACGTGAGAATGAAATTTTTGCGAGCATACTGTCTCGTGTAATTACACGAAAATAAAGTTCTCGCGAATAAAAAGTGATTTACAGTATCTCAGATTAATCAAATGAGTTTTTAATCAGCTATTCATTTCAAATTTATGACTGGCTTTCATCAAAGACAATCATGTCTCGGCTGATCCTATTTCTAATTATTTTCCCCTTCTTTTTTTGTTTCTAACACAAAAGAGGCCAAATGATTTCCTCCTGATTTTTCAAGGTAGAAAGGGATCAAGGTAGCCAATTCTTTTCAGAAAGAAAAAAAACCAATAAAATGAATATATGTTACATAGTCCTTTGAAAATTACATGAAGACACATGCACCATTTTGCTTTTCAGTCCCAAACTAGATATCATTGAGATGGTGACCATCTCAAAGGGCCCCGCTTTCAACAATGAACATGAAAATGTAAGGTTGAAGCAATATGAGCTGCATGTTTGACATCAGAAAATTTTAGTCAAAAAATTTGTAATTTTAATGACAGAAAGATAATTTTTTTTATAAACTTCTGTTGCACCTATTTGCAATGGATTTTTTTTTTATTTAATAGCTTTGATTGAAGCAAAATTGAATTATTGTCATCCTGTACAATAATGATTTCTTATATAAAACTGTATATTCGGTTGTACAGAAATATTTCTTCTGAAACATTTTTAAACTTTATTTTGGGCTTATTGATGATAAAAGTTTAAATTACATACAAATTGATCATAATAGCACATTTTACCATAAAAATAAAATTCTCAAAGACACAGCTCATATTGCTTTAAGTTTAAAATGATTATTTTGAAGAGGAACATTTGTGTACTACAGTGAAAGTAACTTAGTACGACTTCACAGATACTGCAATTTTACATATATATATATATATATATATATATATATATATATATATATATATATATATATATATATATATATATATATATATCTCAGAGTTATCATGTATCCTCAGTTATATAAATTTACTGGAATTAAGGGGAAAAATTATGCACCAAACAAAGATTTTAAACATAGAGGCTAATTCTGACCATGACCTAGAAACTTTGACCAATTAAAGTCACTGCAAATCCATTGACCAGTGGCACTCTGTGAGTGAAATATGAGCCAGATTGGGCCAAGGAGAGAGAATATATGCTCCAAACAAGGATTTTTCATATACAGTAAAACTCGGTTATAGCGAAGTCCTGGGGACCTGTGAATTTAATTCGCTATATCCGTAACTCGTTACATCCGTATAATGAATTCGTATAACCATTATAGCGAATTCGCAATATGCATGCTTTCCTTCAGGTATAACTACCAAATATGCTAGGAAAGCAAATATTATAAAACATATCTTCGATAACTAAGGTTATATTATGAATTAGATTTTATATACAAATGCTAAAGAGAAATACATGTAGAGTCAGTTTAATTTATCAATGTTTTTATAATCTTTGAGAGTTCGTTATAAAGGATGTAAATTTCATTATATTTAACCTCAATGGGACTCGAAATCAGTTGCTATATCCGTAAATTCGTTATATCAGAGTTTGTTATAACAGTAAAATTTTACAAAGATTTGTTAAGAATTTTGCCGGGTACCCAGAAAACATTCGCTATATCCGTGAATTAGCTATATCCGTGTTCGTACCAAACGAGTTTTACTGTATTTCTGCTATGACCTTTGACCTAGAAACATGGTTTAAGATTACTGCACACCAGTTACCCAAAGGCACTCTGTGGGTGAAGTATGAGCCAGATTGAGCCAAGGAGAGAAGATATGCTCCGGACAAGAATTTTTCATATAAGTCTGCTATGACCTGGACCTTTGACCTAGAAACATGGTTCAAGGTAACTGCACACCGGTTACCCTAAGGCACTCTGTGGGTGAAGTATGAGCCAGATTGGGATAAGGAGAGAAAAGATATGCTCCGGACAAGGATTTTTCATACAAGTCTGCTATGACCTTGACCTTTGACCTAGAAACATGGTTCAAGGTCACTGCACACCGGTTACCCAAAGGCACTCTGTGGGTGAAGCATGAGCCAGATTGGGCCAAGGAGAGAAAAGATATGCTCCGGACAAGGATTTTTCACACAAGTCTGCTATGACCTTGACCTTTGACCTAGAAACATGGTTCATGGTCACTGTACACTTACCCAAAGGCACTCCGTGGGTGAAGTATGAGCCAGATTGAGCCACGGAGAGAAAAGATATGCTCAGGACAAGGATTTTTCACACAAGTCTGCTATGACCTTTGACCTAGAAACATGGTTCAAGGTCATTGCACACCGGTTACCCTAAGGCACTCTGTGGGTGAAGTATTAGCCAGATTGGGATAAGGAGAGAAAAGATGTGCTCCGGACAAGAATTTTTCACACAATTCTGCTATGACCTTGACCTTTGACCTAGAAACATAGTTCAAGGTCACTGCACATCTTTTACCCAAAGGCACTCTGTGGGTGAAGTATGAGCCAGATTGAGCCAAGGAGAGAAAAGATATGCTCCGGACAAGGATTTTTCATTCAATTCTGCTATGACCTTGACCTCTGACCTAGAGACATGGTTCAAAGTCACTGTACAACGGTTACCCAAAGGTACTCTGTGGGTGAAGTAAGAACCAGAATGGGCCAAGGAGAGAGAAGATACGCTCTGGACAAGGATTTTTTAATAAAATTCTGCTATGACCTTGACCTTTGACCTAGAAACATGGTTCAAAGTCACTGCACACCAGTTACCCAAAGGTACTCTGTGGGTGAAGTATTAGCCAGATTGGGATAAGGAGAGAAAAGATATGCTCCGGACAAGGATTTTTCATACAATTCTGCTATGACCTTGACCTTTGACCTAGAAACATGGTTCAAAGTCACTGCACACCAGTTACCCAAAGGTACTCTGTGGGTGAAGTATGAGCCAGATTGGGCCAGGGAGAGAAAAGATATGCTCCGGACAAGGATTTTTCACACAAGTCTGCTATGACCTTGACCTTTGACCTAGAAACATGGTTCAAGGTCACTGCACATTGGTTACCCAAGGGCACTCTTTGGGTGAAGTATGAGCCAGATTGGGCCAAGGGGAGAGAAGATATGCTCCGGACAAGGATTTTTCACAAAATTCTACTATGACCTTGACCTTTGACCTAGAAACATGGTTCAAGGTCAGTGCACACTGGTTATCCAAGGGCACTCTGTGGGTGAAGTATGAGCCAGATTGGGCCAAAGGGAGAGAAGATATGCTCCGGACAAGAGATCTCGGACGGACTGACAGACGAACAGCTGGACGGACGGACGGACAGACATACTGATCACTATAGGGCGCCCGCCGAGCGGGGCCCTAATAAAATCCGTTACACAAGGCATGTAAACTGACTTTTCATTGGGATTTTGGGGACTGCCTTAAAACTCAAACGAACATATAAATTTAACTTTGTTGAGGTAAGTCTGCATGGAATTTGAAATCCTGATCTTGGCATAAGTTTATAGAACTCAAAATTTACAAGTGTTTATCTGTGCTAAGGTAGTGATTTCCATTTCTATGCATAGCTTGATGGCAAGTCTAATTTCATTTTTTTCTAAAAAGATGTTTGGGTGCAAAAACAGACTTCTTAAACTTCTTACAGCCTAAATATAAACACAATCAACTTTCTGACCTACTGGCAATGGATGAAGGAATACAATCATGTTTTTATCATAAAATATAATAAGTTTATTCTAGTGCAATAATATCAAGAGAAAATGGTGGACTGCTTAATTTTTCATGAATGACCAAAATTAGATAACGTTGGTTATAACTGGAAATCTGATTTTTTTGTCAGGCCTGGGGGCCATAAAACTTAGATGAGCTCACTTTTGATCTAAGTCTCACTTTTCCACTATATATTCCTTTGGAAAAAGTGAAACATCAATATTTTTTGTGGTTTTGTTACTCAGGAAAACTTGAATTAAATTTACCTTCTTTAACTTTGTCCTCTTCACTTTGTTTCTTTTCTGTTTTCATCTCTCTCAGGTCTCTCTTTAATCGCTTTGCCTCTTGTCGCAATTCTTCACTACAAGCATAATTAATGGGGAGTTCTCTCATATAACATCTTACACGATAAAGTCTTTCACAATTAAGTCACTAAGGACAGCCCTAGATTTCTTACTTTCCTAAGATCCACCAACACTTTCATAACTATCTCACTCATAGCAAAAAATGGATTCTAAATGTGAATTCATTGTGAAGATGTTTTAAATAACCTCAAAACTTTCCATTCCAGAGCAAAGTTTGGAAAAAAAAATTAAGAGGTGTGAACTGATATTTAATGTCGTTTTGTGAACTGCTTTGTAAAACTTTATCTTTGATTCAGAATATGAAATGTATTTGTATTTATGATAACAAAATTATTAATTATTAAGAAACTTTACATATTTTTCAATGACATCTTTCTTATTTTGACTTATTATGTACTTGGTAAACCTGTGATGATGAAAAAATGTATTCAGTGGAAACTATAGCGTTTGTTGGTAGATCTGAGAAAACAAGCACAGAATAATTGACATCTCTTTATCACTTTTACAGTGAATGATGTAGTAAATAATTGCATTGCCCCTTTTTATCACAAATATTACCTACAGGTAATCAATATTTGTTGTTATAGCGATAGCAGATACAAATATTCCTGTTCCATAAAGCATATATAATTAAATCATGCAAATTTTCTCAAAATGTACATTTATGTGTATATATGGCTAAATTGGTTTATTTTTGTTTTTCTGTTCAATGTATCTATGTATGTCTACGGGGGCAAATTAAGGAATGAATTAATAGCTACCCAAATTATACTGTACAATCTGGGTTGGGACCATCATGATTTTTACGCAATCTACAGTATCATTGTTTATGACATAATATTAGTCCAAAGGTTTGTGAGGAGTGTAGCAGATCATAAACCCTTAGCTATAATTAAAATCACAAATCACTTTTTATTAGTGAAAACTTTATTTTGCATAATTATGCAAGAATTCTGCTCGTAAAAATTTCATTTTTACATACAATTCTACTATTTCAGATTATATAGAGCAATAATCAAAATTTGTTTAAAAAAAAAAAAAAAAAAAAAAAGTTTCTAAACAACAGTCTAGGTAAAAGAAATTTCATAGAGCTTTAAAAAAAATTGTGAATACATTTGAATTTTGTTTTTCTTATAAATATCAAACAATAATCTAACAAGGTGTCATGAAAATTTAGTAATCTACAAAAAACTGTGTATTTAATATTTGGAATATAAGAAAGAGTTGTGTTTGTTGAAGTTTCTCAAAAGTCAGACTCCAGAGGTCATGTTCAAAATTGTTGTTACCCAAAGGAAGGTCTTGTCACAAGCAATATATCTGTGAAATATGAAAGCCTATTGTTCAAAAGTCATGCCAATATAAAAAATTTTAAAAGTGGGTCAAACACTAAGGTCAAGGTCAATAGGTCAAAATATTTATAACCACTGAAAGATCCTATTGCAATGAATACATATGTGAAGTATGAAAGCCCTAGCACCAACAGTGTAAAAGTTATGGCCATGGTTAAAGCTTGGGATTTTTTTGTTTGTTAAACATGGGTCAAACTCAAAGTCAAGGTCAAGAGGTCAAATTTGGTGGTACCAAAAGAAAGGTCTTGTCACAAGGATTACACCTGTGAAAAATGAAAGCCATAGTCCCATCCTCTTAAAAGTTATGATCAAGGTTAAAGTTCTTGCAGACAAACAGACAGCTAGAATATGGAAGGACATAGCTGGACCCCTGAATCTGCTATTGTGGGGGCATAAAAAGGGTTTTAGTGCACATCACATAACTGATATATTTATACCTGTTTACTTCAAGAAAATTCAAGATCAGAGAAAAAATTTACTCCTGCAAAGTTGGAAGCTGGTGCCATGGAGGAGTAAACATTCCCTGTCAAATTGTCACACCCAATATGAACCCTTCGATGTCTCATATATTCACCATGGCATAATGGTTATAGAAAAGTCTTCACAAACATAGTGAAATGAATCAAAATTTCACTTTTACAGTTTGTCAACAAAGCAATGAGAAATAAGAACTTTAATAAGAAATTTAGTGCAATCACTGGCAGTTGAGTTGTTGGCCTATTCATGAATAAGCACTACACACTTCTGTGCTGTATATTGTATTTATGTATGATTTCTTAGCTGTATTCATGAATTAATGCATCAATGTCTGCGCCAAAGCTGCTAAAATATGAACCCGGCTTTTTAAGTACACGTAGTACATTAAACTCACCCCTCTACATGTTGACTAAAATATATGCTTGATTTTGATCTTTGATTTTTTTTTCAATCATGACTCAAGGTACTCTAAGTTGTTACTTGGACTTTTTAACCTTCACACTTGGATCAAGGTCACCACGACCCTTTATTCATAAACACTCCTAGAGTGAAGGACAAGTCAAATTAAGCCAGAGAGACACAAAATATGATCTGGGCAAGGAATTTTTGCTAAGTGCTTTTTGAATACTTAGGAACCAGATTGGGCAAAAGAAAGAGAAATTCTACTCCACAGAAGTAATATGAGACAGAAAAGATGGATCAATTTCTGCAGCCAATTACCGTATAAGTTGAAATTTTAGCAAGACGCAAATTTAGCGATTTGCCCTTAAAAACTAGTATTTTATATTTAGCAAGATGTAATTTTAGCAATTTTAAAATGCTCACTAAAAAGCTATTACAAATAAAACACAATTAATTTTAGCGATATTCAATTTTAGCGATCTAAGCACCCTCGCTAATAATGCCAAAATTAAATCAAATTAAATGCAAAAAAATTCAAAAATGTGCTTATACGGTATATTGGAGACCACGTAATGATATAACTTTGTACTCACGTTTTACTTATTCTCTCTTGCTCCTCTTTCTGGTCTTTGTCTGGTGACGGGGATTTCCTCTTTTTCTCCTTAAACAACAAAAGTAAAAATTAAATTTCAAAAGAAAAGGAGGAAAGAAAGAAAAAAAAACATTTTAAAAAATTCTAAATGTAAATATGTTTTGACTGGAATGCATTCTCTAATGCAGAAAATAATATAACACATTAGAGGCACTCCTAAGCATCCTCTCCCAAAGAGCATATCTATGAATCAAGGCATCATTCAACACTGATCCCACTGTAAATTATGTCACTCTTGTTTTCACACTGGACAAACTTACACACAAACACATTACTATACGCTACCCCTCCAACCCTAACAAGAGACAGCAACATAACTATTGTTGAATTATTTTGATTTTTTTTCCCAGTTTTTGCTTGAAATGATGTGCTAAATTTAAAGATTCACAACCAAAAAAGGTACAGTGGATTTTCTCAATAATCCACTTTTAGTTTTCTCATCAAGCATTTTGTAAATCACAAAGAAAAAAAAATTAAGTCACATTAAATTTTCATCCATTATGTTCTGTTTAAATTATTGAATTTTAGCTATAACTCATCTACCAGGTAATCCCACAAAAAGAGGATGTGGCAAATTATAAAACTTCACATAGATTTGGAAATTTTTTTGCCAAACCTTTGGTGGCTGTGCTAGCCTCTGTCTGACTTCCTCCTGGTCTATTTCTGTTGTTTCTGTGCTGAGGGAGGGGTCATCTATAAGGTCATGACTACTTTTACTCTTCCCTTTGGAGTCCTTGGATACCAGATCTACTTCCTCTTCCTGTTCTTCTGCTTCGTCTCCAAACGACAGCAATTTGTAATTTCTGAGAGGGGGGGAAAAAGTCAAACACAGTTTAGTACATTTCAGAGCAGAACTTAGAAAATTATCAATTTGCATTACAGAGAAACTGCCCAAAAATGGCTGTCTTCTGGACAAACTAGAACTGTCCATTAGGGACAAATACCCCCCGCTGGGTTTTTCAGAGAAGGTGCTAATTCAAAAATACTTTATGGATCTGGAGGTGTTCACAATTTACTTACAAAAATTTGCAGTGAAATATAATTGCTCATCATGTTTCTTAATGAATGAAACAAAGGTGCAACCAAATGAAACATCAATACTACAACATTGTAATTCCACTGTAACATTATTTTTTTAATTTAATTTTTTTATTTCTGCATTAAAAAAATATATTGCAATTATGTGCTATGTCACTCTGCAAACTGATTGTTGAAAAAAAATCATATTATACAAAATCAAATTAATCTTGATAACTTTATATCAAATTCATTTTGAAAATAAAGAGCTGTTCATCCAGTAATGAAGTGCTTTGACAGACAATAAATTACAATTAAGAGAATAAGAGAAGAGAGATCTTTAATTCTTGTGCCCGATTCCCAGGAGATAACACATGGTTCATAATGAGATGCCTTAATGTTCAACTTCCCACACCAAACTCATTAATTTATCTTTAACTGGATGCATGTCCAGTCATTATTCCCAAGAGACAAATGAAATTACATCATCTTCTGTGCAATGTAAAAACTGTTTTTAACACTTGATGATGGTTTTTTTTTCTAAAGTTTTTATGAGTAGTTATGTTTTTGTACAGATATTCTAGATTCTATGTCTCAAACCTTATACATGAGCCCAAAATGAACAAGTCAATTAAAATAAAAAATAAAACCTGTAAAATGCAGAAAAATGAAAAAAAGAGTTGAAAATTCCAGGTGCACACCTTCATATGGTGAATAATAAGTGTACAAATTTTCAGATTAATCCTTGCAATAGTTTCTGAGAAACGGTCCGGACAAAACCACAAAATAAAAGTGAAAAAACACCTGTAAAATTCAAAATAATAATTGAATCAAGATGAAAATTTCAGGTGCACAACTTCATATTGTGAATAATATGTGTACAAATTTTCAGACAAATCCTTCCAACAGTTTCCGAGTAATGGTCTGGACAAAATCTTGTCTACAGACAGACGGACAGCTAGACAGACAGACGGACATGGTGATTCCAATATACCCCCCCTAAACTTCGTTTGCGGGGGGTATAACAAAAACAGACACTCCTTCCAGACCAGACCACAGATTAGAAAGGTGGCTGCTTTTCTGAGGTTTACAGAGTACCGACAGGGTCTTTTTATAATGATGGATTTGGAGGGAGTTTTCAGTGTGACAGTTTTGAGATGTTTCACTACATGTATATTTACTTCAAAAGAATATAAAAGATATAACAAACATTTCATTACTGATGATGATGATGATAAACATATCAAAAGAGAAAAGTATGTTGATTGTTTTATTAGAATTGCCTCAAGATGGGTGGTGATGAAATAGGATTTATCTCCCTTACACTACAAAATGCTACTACAGTAAAATTTGTCTAATCCGGACTCTGAGTACTCCGGATTTTTGTCCATTCCGTCTATAAATTTTAGTCCCATGCACTTCTTTAAGAAATTCATTGGAAAAAATTCTGTGTACTCCGGATACTGTCTATTCTGTATTCCGAACGGCCATACCGGTCCCAACTGCTCATAATTAACGGTAATTATTTCCTCTAATCCGGCCACACCTGAGTTACTTCAAAGCAATTAACACCTTTCGTGGTGGATGTGATAATCTGTGTTTACATTAGCAGTGCCATGAGACGAACTCAGTGAAATGCGGCAGTGAAACAGCCCAATTGAAAAAAAAATATTACTAGTATATGATTGAATTACAATTCAAAAAAGATTTATTTTGTTTTAAGTCCTTTTACCACATTATAACATAAATACAAAAAATATATGTACGCGATCAAAATATAAATCGGGATCGAAAATCGAACGCATTTCAAAATGGCGCCATAGCACTGTGGGGGAAGACGTAATTTTTTACATAAAAATTAAAAGTTCAATCCAATAATTAGTACATCGTAAATAATTGTGCATTACTGTTTTTACATTGAATGAGCTCTTTGACAAGCGAAACCTGGCCCGCTTGATATATAGTAGGCGTATATTATGCGTGCCTATAGATTTTGATTTAGGTAACATTTCACCCGACTTTCAAACTTCGTGAACAAACAAGAAAATACAGTAAGTCATATGAAACTATTTTATAGTTTCCAGACTCCAAAATATTGATTGATTCCATCATATAATTACATTTTATATTATGTATATGATGTCTTGTACATAAACAACGAAATTTTCAAAATTAATATTTTCCTGCATTTTCCTGCACTCCGGATTCTGTCTAAACCGGCCAAATTTTATGGAACCGGCGGTAGCCGGTTTGGACAAATTATACTGTATCTGCAATTTTGTTAGATTGCATGTAAACTGATAGCATACTTTGTGGCTTTTGACTTGCTCTTCACTTTGTCTTCTTTTGTTTCTTTAGATTTTCTTTCATGTGCAGATACTCTTGGAATAATGTCATCAAATGGGTTTGATAAAATCTGGAGTAAAATGTGTGAAAAAAAAAAATTTGAATTGTGTAATCACACTTATTTGCCGGTACATTATGATGATCAATCAAAAAACAATACACCTCCTGCCCACCCACTCCCAAAAAAGGGTGTGTGGACTTTCAATATTATTCTTCGGTTCAATATTTTTCTTACTCCCATACCTAAAGAAATAGAATATGAAGCTTTATTTGATGGGGTACTTACATGTGTAGTTTTGATTTTGTGAGGGTCGTACGGTCGATCATGTTGATCCACCTCCACTTCCTGTAATTTTCCTAAGTTATACTGCGTGTTCCCTGTTATCTGGTAATAACGAATATTGAATTATTTATGAATCATTCGTAAAACCAAATTTGAAAAACATAACATCATACTCAACATCAAAGTTTTTCAAAGAAACGTTTGCCTGTTGATTTTGCTTTCTGAAGAAAGAAAACCTGTTGAGTAAAAATCACATGTATAAGGTATGGAAAAAAGTTTACTGTCAGACACATT